AAAAGCGAAATTTAGAGTCTACATATTTCTTAACAGCAAAAATGGAAGTCCAACCTTTGTTTTCGACTCTGTATCTCTCTGACGCCAAACTTCTAAACCAAACCAATCGACTTCAAGTTAAAATGAATATCATTTCAAAAAATTGAATTAATAAAATTCTGAGTAGAACAATCATTAACTCTAATATTGGTAATGTATTAATCTTTTGCCTCAGGACCATATTGCTTATCCAAAAAAAAAAAACTATCTTCAGCAAATTGATGAAATCAGCCTGTAGATTTACGATAAAATTTAAGCCTGCCAGAATGCTGCGGTGAAAATCGTCTTTATGAGCAGGCGAAGGTCCTTCCCATACGTCAAGATAACCATGTACTTTCGTTGCAGTTCCTGCTTGGGTGCTATCGTGGGGGTCATCCAAACCATCATATGGTGAATAAATCTCCTTCACCCAGCAGACATATATTAAGGACATACGCCATAAAAGAGTGCCTCTAGATCAAGACGAGGAGAAGGCGGGTCTGAGTTGCATTCATACTGATACAGTCACATATACGATCAGCAATTATAGTATGAATACCGTCCCCCTAAATTCCATTGCAGCTGAAGAACGTATGAAGACTAGAGTAGTTTTGGCGCAATCACGTTCAGTAGTCTCAATTCGCATTGAACACGAATTGACGAAGATGCGCGAAACGTCTAAGCGGCGTGTGATACAGGTCCACCCAATACGCTGCACCTTAATTGTCCTGCTAAACCTACCACCACTCACTGGTTAAAAATGTAAAAATTAAGCTTCATAGGTAGTCACCGTGAAGCAACTTGTCGGACCACAATACAGAAATATGTGTAAAATGCGAGCTTTTGGCACAAGTTAGTGATGTGAAGAATAAATACCCTGCAATAACTGAGATTAATATTGTTATACTGTTACATACAAGTGCTAAAGGAAACCCAGGTTTATCCCTTCCTCGTATAAATATTGGAACCTAAGGTTTGCAAAATTCTGTTGACACAAGAAATCAAGGCATGTGTCGCTTCTTTACTAATGAATTCTTTTAAAAGCATGAAAATAATCTGGAATTCCATCGAAAAATCATCTTGACTAGTGTGGCCAATTTCTCTCGGCGGTTAAACGAAGCTGCTGCCTTGTTATGCAAAATACATGTTCGTGGCTACAATTTGCCCGATATTGTGTTTTGTTTTTAAAGGCTCACCTTCCTATTTATTATAAAATAAACTTCGGCTTAACTCTAGTTTAGTAAAAAATCCAGATTTTTTTAATTTTCCAGATGATGTTTATGCTAATGGTGGTCTTAAAATTATCGATTTTTGGACCGGTACTTTTGATTAAACCACCAAAAGTGAAAATCGCAAAAAGTAGGACCAAATATATGCGGTAGCCGGTATTGGACATACCTAGAGGAGAAAATCTCTTAAACCTCTCTGGTTCCCGAATTTAATTCTTCTGGATCCGTATTTGAAAAGCCAGACCGTCAGCTATAATTTAACATAGGAATATTTTATTATTTGTCATTTTTTAACATTTAGAGGAGCCTAACTCTTTTAGAGGGATAAAACCCTTTTAAATAAGCCCACCTTTTGTATAGGTATTTTCATAAGCTTTCAAATCTTATCTATATCGGTATAGTATATCCGTGTCTAACCAAGGTATGAACACGGACTTTCGGCTCAAAACAGGGTGCCCAGCTCCGTACCTCAAAAAATAGTTTTCCAAAATCAGGGTACAAAAACCTACCTCTGGAAAAAATTCAAAGTTTCAAATTCTGAGTTTTTACTATACTAAAAGTGTTCCATATCCCTATAAACAGTATTACCTCATGTGGGTTAGCTATAGTGCCAGTGAAAGCTCTTATTGTCACATTCAAGATTACTCAGGCCTATGTCATTGGAAGTTTCCCGTCACACAATGACCAGTATCTGGTCATAAGCGTGTTTCACTTATTTTCTTCCCCTCCTTTGAAATGGCACTGCTCAAACGCATTTATATTAGAAACAATACAACGGCTAGCTAAAAATAACCAACAATAACAAAAGAGAATCCAATTGGAATTTATTTCTTCCAAAAAGAAAACAGATATATTTCCATTTTGAAAACAAACAAAAAACACACACACGCATCAGAGGTTAATGCACCACTCAAAAAATAAGAACACAAATATGACACGGAGAAAAAATGCGGCCATCTTTTTGCATTGTTTGTTGTTGCAGATGCCACTGTCACAGTTGATGTTGTTGTTCCTGTTGTTACTTTCGCTGTGTTCATACGATGGATGGTTTTCGTAAAATGCAACACTGGTCTCGTTATGTCCCTAATTCTGCTGGCGCAGGCGTACAAATAAAGACAACAACACCACAAACGAAGGCAATACACACATTGAAATAAGAAAACAACAAAAAAAACAGCAACAATAACACAAACATAACGATGACAAAATAAATTCACAATTTATTTTTTCTTAAAAAATCAAGAAGTATGCTATAATTTTATTACAACAACAACGAAAACACGTCAAGTTAATTTGATAAAAATAACATGTTAGGAGGAGGAAAAACAACAATATAATTGGCGCAAACAAATTTAAACACGCACACACACTCGCCCTTACCCAAAACGAACGAAGACGCACCTATGAATGTATGTAAATAAAATGAAACAAAAAAAAATACACAACATTAACCACAAAAATAAAATAAAAATCACTCAACCATAAAGTCATAATGCCGAGATGACTTGTAGTGTACCGTTGTACTAACAACGGGCAAAGAACAGCCAAAAGGCAAAGGGAGGACAATAAAGAAAAACTCTTCAAATAATGTAAAGAAATTAGCATTGCAAGATTATGTTTTGAAGTACACACACACCAACATAATCACATAAAATATTTGCAATAAATAAACGCTACTCGCTAAACCACAAATATTTTTTTGCACATTTCTGCCACCCCCTCCCCGCGTATTAGAATAATTGCACACTCTATTAATTATCGATGTTTTAGTTGTAATAGCAAACATGTCAATTAGCATGACTCGAAACTTTTTGTTTCTCCATTGCAAGAATGTATTTTAATTGTCGCCTGTACTCACCTTGTTTTTTTGTAAAGTTCCGCGTCTATATAGCAAAAAAATTGAAAGGAATTTGGCTTCTATGCTGAATTGCTTCTTCTTCTATAAATTTATTTTTTGATAAGTCAAACTCTGTCTTGGTTTTGACACACAATCTGCATTTATTTGTTATAAAAATAACGATGCGTTTTTATTTACTTTTAATTTTTGTTCTTTTAATTGATTTTAACACAGTTTATATTCTTATTTGCAGAAATTAAGATTTTTCACATCACTATGCGCTTATGCGAACTTCACGACTTAGGGGTATGTAAGTCGACTTTTGCCCTAATGACAAAATCGATTTTGCCTGGTAAAAAATCGAATAAACGTTGCCATCGTTATCGACTCTTTGATAACTTGAAACTGTTCTTGTTCATTTGTTTTGCCATGTTCTCATTAGCATTTTAACAACCTTGTTCGCTCTTATAACGAAATTCGGCGCGGTCATATGAAACTTTGAATTGAAACAAAAAATGATTATCTCTCTTTGCGTTGATGTTTCGGGTTCGTATTTTATAAATCAACATAGAATGATTTACTTTTTTTGATTCACACCATGCCGCAATAATAACAAGTGATCTGTTCCATAACACGCCAGAATCTTATATTTTTGCAATTTCTTTCGATATCATAACAATAACAGTTTTAACATTCTGCCCATGGTAGAATTAAGAAGGTAAAGTCACGCAATCATATGTTTGCAATTTTTCAAAATTGCCTATCTGATAACATTTCATTGGCAGAAGTCGGGCACACTTAGAAAAATAAATGTAATCAGCTGGTACCGCATCTTATTATTGTACCATGAATTGTATTGTTTATTCTATGGTACAATAAAAAGGTAAGGCAGAGCTACTAGCTGGTGTTTTTGTAGGTGTTCATTGTTTTGAAAAATAAAAACAAAATATTTTCAATGGTAGAATTAAGAAGGTAAAGTTAAACAATCATATGTTCACAATTTTTTCAAAATTATTCATTTGACAACATCTCATTGTCAAAATGTATATTTGTAAGCCCATACACAAATCAGAGATGGGAACCTGAATTTGAAATAATTTCAAATTATTTTATTTTTTATTCAAAACAATACATGCACCAAATGTGTACATGACAGAATAAGAGCACCCAAAGAAAAAATTGTATTTATGGGGGTAGCTTTGTTCTACCTTCTGTAATTGTGCCATACATGGTTCCCATCTCTAATCTGTGTATATACAATATATTCATGAATAAATATTTTGACAATAAGATGTAAAATGAATAATTTTGAAAAAATTGAAAAAATATGATTGCATGGCTTTACCTTCTTAGTTCTACTATGGATAGATGGATCCATGCATGGAGGCAGAACAGCTTTTAAATATTTATGCAAAAATATTTTATAAAATAACATTTTCAAAAATTATTGCTTTACAAACACATACTGCATTTTTAAAATATTTTTTAAATTTTAATATGTTACAATACAAATGGCAGCATTCAGCAGATGTACAAAACGTATGCTCTTTTCCACAACTACAAGAATGTAAAACTTTTTACTATTATAAAAAACATCCATAATAAGTTCATGACTCATTTAAAATGAGGCTACATTGTCTCTTATACTTTTGATTTAACTCCCAAAAAATAAAACATGAAAAATGTTTGGAATAGAGTTAATTTTTATTCGCATTCATATCGACAACAGAAACTGGCCTTTATATTAAAAAAAAAAACTTTCTAACTGATAACAGATGTCGTAATATGTCACTTTTGTACACGCCACCATTAAAGTAACACCTTATTGCGAAGTTTCCTCAGCGTTAAACTATTTGCCACTAGATGGCATTAAATATTTCTTAGTAAGCTAAATAGTAGCTGAAAAAGATTTCAAATTGGAATTGGAACTGATTTATTTTAAATTTAATCAAATTTTTGTATATTTCATTGAAAAATATTTATTTTTACAATTTCTAGTCTCACTTCCAATCCAAAAGACCACGATTGTCCAGCCAAGGTAGAATGTTTACCATTTGCTTAACATATTTTGGATTGCTATACATGGAATAGACCATTTTCGATTTATGATTTGTATAGTTTTCCAAATTTGATTCTTCTGATTTGTCCAAAATGACTGCTGGCAAAACTTTGGATGCAATCATATAAGCTAAAAAAATAGAAAACAAAAGCAAAATAATAAAATAATAAATTCTAAAGATAGAGAAATTCGTAGAAATTGATAATTGATAATGATAATTGAATTTGATTTATTCGAGCTTATCTATATTAATGTGTGCGTGTAGATCACATCTTCTTACCAGCCAATCCATTTTTCAGTAATGCTCCGTGAATGTTTATTAATTTGGGAAGCGGTCGAGCGTACTGCAACAATTTAAGGTTTTCCACCAAATGTCCATAATAGAAGCGTATGAAATAATCGAATTTCGTCAATTTTATATCAGCCGAACATGAGGACAATATGAAATAATATAAATCATTTGCCGGTGAACCATATTTGCCCAAGGCAAAGTCGACAAACAGCATATCTTTGATTTTTCCAAAGGCATCATACTGGAACATGATGTTATTGGACCAACAATCTCCGTGATTGAGGACATTAAATTCTCCCGTATTAACACGTTGATCCTCTAGCAAACGACTAACCAAATACTCATCGCTGTCGGCTAATTTCTCATAGTAAGCCGAACAGTTCGGCCACTTCTTTAGTTGGGTGAGAAATCCAGTTGATTTATTAAATTCGTTCAAAATACCACGATTCTTCTCACTAAACATGCCAACGTTAAAATCTTCACCATATGACCCATATTTTTCCACATAACACGCAGAGACGGCATGATATTCAGCCATTTTCTTAAGGACGGCATGCATATGGTCCATATCAAGACCGACAATACGATTGGCGTTTTTATAGTTCTTCGTGGATAGGTCCTCCAGCAGGACATAGTCCTTATCTACGTCTACATCAAATTTATACGCCTTCGGACTAAATTCAACTGTTTTCCCAGCATCGGCATAGAGTTGTTTGAAGCGTGGTAAAATTTTGTGGTAGATTTCATTTTCCTTGGGAAAAATACGAAATATATCTAATATTTGAGCCATAGCTTCATTGGCTTGACAAGTTTTGAGGAAGAGGGATAGGTTTTTATCTTTTCCATCTGTAAGATAAAGAAGATAGTAGATTTATGCATTTTTTATGTTAAAATCACGTTTCATGAAAATGATCGTCTTTAGAAAAAACCGTAAGGTATGGATACATAAGCAACTTGGCATATTTTGTGGCAGATCATAAAAGGATTTCAAAGTCGCACTCGAATCCTGCCGTCGTTTCCCCTTATCATTTGACATTAATATGCCTAGCCGCCACGATGCCAAGCTGCTTATGTACCCTCACCTTTAGCTCCTTCAACCAAAAATATATAATTTTACGATAGTGTTAAGGCAATGTCTGATTCAAGATAATTAAGGAGAGGGTACATAAGCAACTTGGCATCACAGCCAGGCATTTTAATGTCAAATTATAAGGAACAATGACGGCAGAATTTGTGTATGGCTTTGGCATCCCTTTATGATATGTCACAATATATGCCATGCGAAGACTTCAAGCTGTTTATGTATTCTCATCTTTAGTCTAGTTTTATCGCAAAATTATACGTTTTTGGGTTAATGCGATGAGGCTTCGAGAAACGTACATTTTCATCGAAAATGAACCGGGCCTTATGTATTTATGACTTTAATAATATTAATAATAATAAATATTGTTTTCAAAGTTGGTGATACATAAGCAGCTTGGCATTATGGCATGGCAGCGATAATATTGCTATAATATCGGTAGAAGATTGTCAACCCGAATTGACCTTAATATCATTGCAGGAAATAGTCAGCACAAGATTTCGTTTTAGTTCAAGGACTACACAGGAACTAATAGCACCAAGAAAGTTTCCTCAATATGAAGGGTTTAAAATCTCTATATTTATAAGTTAAAGCCCAAGAAAAGATAAATAAAATTTGCGTATCTAAGATACGGAACACACATTGCGGGGCGAGCTTTAAATATATTTACCAGTTTTGCTATGGGATCGAAAAATTGTGTACTTTGGATCATAGTAATCTTTCGCGATATTTAACACTATTTAAAAATGGGGATGATACCAAAGAAATTCTGAGAGGAAGCGGGCATAGCCTCATTTGTGTATTTCTGTGGTTTTACGACGCTGTTCTACCCACTTATTGTACAAGGTCGAGTACTTTAAAAAAGGGTTGCCATATTCGATCTAGTAATTTAGTCTACCTGTTTTGTTTGCCTTGCTTAAACCACTGAGTTCTAAGGGTGGAAATACATAAAGCGCATATTTGGCTGCCTTAAGTCATCGGCTGGCTTCTTCGTAGATGAACAAAGGAGTTTTAGGTTGACTTAGTTCGATTTTAGCCCTAGGCTCCTTTGTTCATTTCCGAAGAAGCCAGCCGATGACTTAAGCCCGTGAGATAAGCGCTTTATGTATTCCCACCTTAAAGATGAGAATACATAAACGCTTTTTTGATATAAGTTATCGGCTGGCTTAATGCATGGTGGAAGAACACAGGTAGATGCATCAACACTCGCGAACATTGATATACCAAAAATATTGAAAAATATCCCTAAAAAATAAATTTTAAAAGAATGTGTAATTTTGTTTGCTTTTGTGCCAGATTAAAATGTAAATGCAGTGTGAGATTTCTTACATTTTCATCTTTGTGATCATTCTCGGATTTAGGAAAACAAATTAACTCTGATTTTAATAGCATTACAAAAATAGTTTTAGAAAATAAGAAATATAGAAAAACCCGCACTGTGTGTTGCGAATACTCGCCGCTACAACTGAATAATCCCCCCACATTTTTGACAGTTGTTTAACACAACAATTTGATAATGTTCAGTTATCAGTAGATAAGAAATGGATCAATATAAGCACGTGAGTTTTTTATAGCTGGAAAAATGATATGATTGTATTAATCATACAAAATCTACTCTGTAGCTTGTGAACTCCTACTTCCAAATTATCTATAACAACTGTATAAAGTTTGTTGATTTTTTGCAAAATTATTTGTATTGTGCATAATTCTAATATCCCGATCTCTATATACTATAAACACAAACATGAAAAAATTATAAACCGCGAGAACAGAGTGCCTGGCGCACTGTCACAGCGCTAACTTTTAATCCCAAAAGATGTAATCTACTATCCTTACTAGATTACAAGATAATTCTACTTGCTACCTACAAAACGCTACATTCATTAAATGCTTTAAAAATGTTTGGATTTATGGTAGAATCAAGGAGGTAAAGTCATGTTTACATTTTTTTCAATAATTATTCATTTGACAACATCTCATTGACAAAATTTCTATTTATAAATCCATTGTACATACACAAATCAGAGATGGGGACCTGTTTTTATGTATTGAAATGTGACAAGGTAAATTACAGAAAATGCAGAAATGGGATTGCTTATTTGAAATGATTTTACCTTTTTACTTTTATCATTTTTGGATTAAAAAAATTGCACATGACACCTATATATATTTATATCTCCATGGTACAATAAGGAGGTAGAACACCTCCGTAAAACTACAGAAATACAGCCCTGAGACTATGCCCGCTCCCTGTCAAATTTTTATTTTATTGTTTTCATTTATTCAATATTTTTCCCAATTTTTAAAATCAGTTAAATAGCAAGAAAAATGAATGAAATATCTGGATTTTCTTTGAAAAATATTATCTAAACAGTTCTATCTTTCAATTCCATGGAAAAACTGACGCGCGTCTTCCAATCAAAATTGGCAGAAGTCGGGCACACTTAGAAAAAAATCGTAATCAGCTGGTAGCTCTACTTTGCCTTTTTATTGTACCATCTATATCCCTTGTGTTTTCAGTGTAAAAAATGTTTCATTTATTAATTTTGCAATATTCTTTATTCCCACACACGTGAGGTTCGATTTACTCAAATTGAAAATCCAGGCGATTTTTATTGGAAATAAAGGTGAACATACATAAAGCGCTTTGTTGACTGGCTTAAGTTATCGGCTGGTTTCATCGGAAAAGAGCAAATTAGCTTAGGGCAAAAATCGACCTAAATCGACCTAAAACTACTTCGTTCCTCTACGAAGATGCCAGCCGATGACTTTAGCCAGTCTCCCCAAATACAAGGCACAATTAGAGAAGGTAGAACAAATCTACCTCCAAAATACAATTTTTTTCTTTTGGTGCCCCTATTCTGTCAAAACATATACACATTAGTTGTGTTCCAGAACCTGCAAATTAGTACTAATTAGCACTAATTCTGCTACAACGCGTTCCCGTACTCCAAAAACTAGCAAAACTTGCAGCTCTCTCGAGAAAAAAATGGCGCTGAGTGGTGCACATTTCTGCTTGTTTTAGCTACATGAATTTGGCCGAGCAGAAATGTGCATATTGTAAATTTGACATTTAATTGGCAGGGCTAACAAGGTTGAAAAATGTATTGATACATTTTAATAAAGAAAATGATCTTTTCAGTAAGGTTTCACCAGTCCGATTTAGGCTGTTTCCTTTTGGAATTTTGAATGTTGACATTTTATCGCATTTCTGCTAATTTTCCGTTCCCTTATTTTTTGAGCAAATCTAAATGAGAATGACATTTCGAACTGTTCTCTCTTCTGCTAGTTTTACTACTAAAAAAGTACTGGAACACAACTATTTTTTTCGTGTATTGTCTTGACTAAAAAATACAATAATTTGAAATCATTTGAAATCATTTGAAATAAATGCAAATTTGTAACAAATTCTACAATTTTGTGATAAAACTGTATTGTCCTACTATTTTAGATTCCATCTTCCAATATGAATTTTGTTAAAAAAAAAAATTAAAAATAAACAAAGCCAATTGTTGCATATTTAAAAGTCTATTTGACACTATAAGACTCCAGCACAGAGTTGCATTTTTTCTACTTTCTTTGAAGTTGAGAAACCTTTCTTTTCTAGCCATGTATAAACATGAAAATCTACCTTTTTTGACAAATCGTATGCATTTTAAAAATTATTGAAATTACTAAAATCTTTTGAAAATGCATATCATAATAACCTCCGATTGGCTTCGTAAAAGAAAACGTATAAAAATCGACTTATTTTTGACAGCAAATTTTTAAAATTTTGACATATCAATGTTCCCAAGCGTTGATGGATCTACCTGTATTCTTCTACCTTTGTGTTTTTTATAATTTTGTATGAATGGAGAGATTTCAGATACCGACAATTTCACTTACTTTTCAATCCCACCTCAACTTTAATACGCATCATCAACGACGAATAATTTTCACCGCTCTGTGAGGCATTCTCAATTTTAACACTTGACACTCGGAGGAAATCATCACCGACCGCCTGGGAAACGGCTGCATCTAAGGTTATTTGCTCCAACCAATCGGGCAAATTTGAATCCAAAGCAATATTGTATTTCGGTGCCGGGGCCATGTTTTAGCGACCGTTTGTATTACCGTTCAATTAACAACTAACAATTGCATTGGATTACGGCCATTGTAAACTCCCACAGCAAATAAAGTTTTTTCCAAACACAATCCAAATGTTGATATACATACATGCATATAATCTTATCTTGGCATTTCTTGTTACCATTTCTTTGGCAAAAACTGATATTGATTATCAATTTTGATTGTTTCACAAATAAATGCGATAATTTCTATTGTTTTTATGACCAAATATGTAGTATATGTTTTGTGTGTGCATTTTGTTTATAATAAGATAAACCATTTATGGCATAGAAATGTTTGCCGGTACGTACCTATAATAAGTGTTTTTACAAACTGTATTTAGTTTTATTAAAATGAAAACTAAAGTACTAATTTGTTGTTATGAGTCATAGGGTAAGTGTACCAGTTGTCGGCACTTTTAGGATTTTCGCGTATTTAATCGCTCGCCATTCTGAGTGGAACATTTCAATTATTTCAAAGTTAATTTATTCAGATTCGAAATTTTGTATAGTTTTTGCAGTGAAGTTTTAATAACTTTTTATTAAATTTCATAAATTTGTAGTTTTATTAAAACAATGCTTTTTTGCCAGTAGTCGGCACCACTTGCCAATTGTCGGTATGGCATTTTCCAACAGTCGGCATACCAATTTTTTTGTAAGAATAATTAATAATAATAATAAATTAATTCATTAAAATATAATATTTTTGATTTATGTGTTTGATTTCTCTTTCGTGTGTTTGACAAATATTTTTGTTTAGTTAAACTGATTCGACGTCTTTATTGTACTTTCTTAAGAATATGAATTGTTGAGGACCTTCACAGACAAAAATTTAATTTTTATTAGAATAATTCATTTTTTCTTAGCAAAATTGTTCACAAAGATAGCTGACAATATATTTGAAGTAAATAAAATACATTTAGTTATAATAGTTTCATTTATTTGGACTTAAAAATAAAAAATGCCGACTACTGGGACATGCCGAACTTAGGCACACTTACTCTACAATAAGCAAGAGTTGTTCTTATTTGATAGTACATCTGAAATTTGCACAAAGTCCCTCTTATAGTACAACAATTTCCAAGGTAAGGCCAGTGATCGTCTGAATACAATATTTCTTTTAGTAGTCTTGTAATGTCAAAACATATATTCAGTTTATTGTTGTTAAAATAATAGTTCTTTGCGCATTGGGATGAAAAAGAATTATAATCGTATTAAGAACTAGAACTGAGAAAAAATATCCGGTATTTTATCCATTTTTCGAGATATTGTCTTCAATTAAAACATTGTGAGAAAAGTCTCAAACAAACGCTTGCTGCATTTGTTTTGTTAGTAAATTTGAAGTTACAAGACTCAGCGTTGTGTTTTTACAATTTAATCAAATTTGATTTCGAAAGTATTTCGAAATAGTGAAGTGATTTATGATTTTAGACACAGATTTTTACTAGCATATTTGAAATCATATCTATAAGATATAATGCAAGCCACACACGATACAACTGGTTGTACAACTTGGAGAGTACGCAAATTGTGTGTTTTGGTCACAAACGATACAACTTAGTGTACAACCTCTTTGTACAACTTCACTTTTCGTAAATTTTATTCGAGTTAAGATGTCACTGTGAAGAAAACATGTTCTCATCTCTGATTTGTGTGTATACAACAGATTTGTAAGTATACATTTTGACAATGAGATGTTGTCAAATGAATAAATTTAAAAAAATAAATAGTAAACATATGATTGCATAACTTTACCTTATTAAATCTACCATGGTTATGTCCTAGTAACAACAAACATAACACAAACACATACAAATTTGTTTTTGTACGTAATGCAAATATCATAGTTTTATGTCCAAAAATGTAAACAAAACAATTAATTTTCAATAAATTGTTTTAATTTCAAAAATGTTCATTTTTGGAATGTGGATTATTCAATTTAATATGCAGAAGAATAGCTCTTAAAATATTTAATTTTAATGCTTTCATATAATTCCACTGCATGTATAGTTGTTAGCTGTAGGTCCAAATTTCTCAACACTTCAAGCAATCACTAGAAAATCGTGGAAAAAGCAACATCCCTTTCAAATTCAAACCAAACTGCATACGTACATAAAGTATTCTACATTTTGCAATTTTAGGAAACATAAAAAATACGAGTATATCACCTTATGTGCTGTCGCACCTTCGCTGTTGGTGTCTTGTATACTTTACAGGTTTTTTTTCTATTTTTAGGCAAAAAATATTGATATGTCATTTTATATTTAGTAGCTTCGTGACATATATTTATTTAGTAGCTTTCCTGAATCTGTTCTACTTTATTTTGCCATTACAAAATTAAATGAATAAAAAAGAAAATGAAAAACTATATACGTTTGTACTTTATTGCTTCTCACAGTACGTCCGTGACTAACTACATTTCTAAGGTTGTAACGCCGTCATTCAGATTAACGGAGACGTGTGTGATTTTCCCAACGGCTTCACAGAATATGCTGACGCCGTGACTAACAACCCCAGGATGACTTCGTTTTATGTTTAGTTGGAGGGAAATTTTTGATTTATTTTTCATTTGTCTTTAAAAATCCAGGAGAATAGGAGTTCTAAGATTTTGCAACAAATATAGTGCAAAGTTAGAAGCAACAACATATTGTACCGTTTTAAAAATTACAGTTTTAACGGAAAATTATATGGTAAAGAAAAAGTATCGCGGATGCAGAGCGTAACAACAGTAACAAAGAGAAAATACAACAAAGGTTTTATGGGAATGACAAATTAAAATTAACAAATTGGTAAATTATTAATTGTAATTTTGCAAGAAAACGTGACCATAATGTGAATTATTATTTTTTGGGTTCAGTGATTTATTGGCCATGAAATGTAGAGTTAAATCTTTTTAACTTGCCGCGTATCTACAGAAAATGAGGTTATGTTTTTTTTTTATAATTTCGGTTTCTTTGTGTATTTGTTACTTTTTTTTGCTTTTCGTCGAGTGTGTGTGAGCATAAGGGCATAATTATTTGAAGACCGTGGATTGTTGCAAAGTATGTATTTTCCAAAGCATATTGCACAATCCCCGGCCTGTAAATAAGATTGCAATCAACAACGCATAAAGGATGCTGCTGCCATTTGCGGTTGGAAAATACAATTGGTTATCAATATTTTTGGGGTGATTTTTTTTTTGACAATTGTCAAAAATGCATTTTTATTTGTTATGCATTTTTATATTTGCATATTGTTAGATTTATTAAGAACAATTTCTTTTCAGGCTTTTCCAGTTTTTCTCGTTTCTTTTTAATGAGGGTTAAGATGGGGTGTTTTTAACCGACATTCCCTTACACACGTCTGTTTCCAAACATCCCCAGATTTTCAAGGATCGTTGAAGGGGGTTGAAATTACCTGAATTAATCTTCTTTGTTTTCAAAGGAAAGATTTAAGAAAAGACAATGCAATGATCATAGTTGGCCGTGTTGTTTCTATTCGAGGTAAACAGGGTTGCCGGGTTTTCTTTATAAATAGTTACCTGAAACACAACACACTTTCAAGTTTTGAAGCATTTTGTGGACTTAGATCTACACACATTTGTTAATTATATTGAATTATATTATCTTTGTTGTATTTTTTTTATTATTATAAATGATTTTGGTACCGTTCTTGGCACTGTGGACTCTGGAATTGTAAAAATATTTTTCATTTTATTTTTTACATAGAAGTTTTTGTTTCCTTTTTTATGTTTTATTTAAGAATAAATTGAAAGTGCAATAATTTCTTTTAAACTAATCTGATCCTCACCACCTACGTTACAATGTAGTGTCATTTCAACTAAATTCGGGCATATCTGAAATAATCCCGGACTGATTCTTGGCACGAAGGAAGTAGTCGTATATTTTACAAGGGCGTTGTTGGGCTAAAATGCAGTCCTTTTACACCTCTATCACATCACTTTATTTTTTATTAGTGCTTTGAAGTGAAACAAAAGTCAATCGCTTCAATGCTTCCTCCCGTTGGATACGAGTGTCATAAAAAAACGTTTCGTTTTTTATCGTAGAATTTTAAAAAATCTTGAAAAGATTGTAAAAATGTTACTTTAGCGAAAATATAAAATTCAAAATGCGTTGAATGGAATGCATTTCTTAATGATTTTTCATGTATTGCTTCGGAGCAAACAGTCCAATCACTACTTCATATAAAAAAGATTCAAATAAATTTTGCTCATATGTTATATAACTTTTAAGTATTAAATAGACCATCAGAGTTTTAAGAATTTGGTTTTGATAGTTTTTTAGGCATAAGGGATTCGAAATGTTAACTACTCAATATCGCCGAAAACATTGTATTGTGCGACATATTCTCAGTTATTTATACTACAGAAAATATAAAATGAAATCGTTATTAAATAGTTAAAAGATTAGTGGTTACGATCACGATTACCTTGCATGGTGTATATTTTCTGCATGAGACAAATGTTGTAAATAGAAATTAGGTAAATATTGAGATTAAATTCAGGGTAAAGTGACCTGAAACATACAGAAATCATCGCTCAATGCATTTTTTTTACAGCAATTTACGAATGAAACAAATTTACTGAATTTTCTCATAGATTCTGATAAACATGTGAATTCGTCTGATGTCATCTTGGTGTATACTACCATACCGACGAAAAGTCGGAATTTTGGTATGTACTTTTATGTCACCTGAAATAACCCATATTCTACTGTGTCTTTTGCAAGAAGAACGTCTTGAGCTGTGATATTGCGGAATCAGCTTCCTTTCGCTTTAAGTAATTTTACCTATACCAGTTCTCCGTTTAGTCATCATGTGGTTAAATATCTGGGGTAAATGCATTATCCTATATATTATGTTTATTAAGTGGTTACAGTCTTGTTTTACGTTCTTTTTGTTGGGTTCGGGAGCCTTGGTATTATCTTATTGATTCAAATTGAAGGGTTTTATGATGTAAATTACTATTTCGTGATGTTAAGTCCGCCGCACTTTTCAATTACCTTACTAGACATTTGTTTAGTTGGAGACTGTGAATCGTGGTGCAGTCATTCGTATTTATTGAATTCTTAGAATAGATTACTAGTTTTAAGACTGTTATTTATTGAATTTTTAAATTTAATAGGATTGTTTAAACTTATTGAATTGTTAAAATATATTAATATTATTATTTGTTAATCAGGGTATTGCAGATATGTAATATAAATTTGAGACCATATGGGCTTCTTCATATTACGCTGTATAATAAATAAATGAAAGGAAAGACAACATTAATCGGAAATTGTTTCTAAACATTTTCTCTTGTACATTGGTAGTCTGATTAATGGAATTGTGTCTTCTGAAAGCCTCACATTTTTTAATAAGGAGAAATGGAGATAAAAAACTCATTGATTCTCACTCATTGATAGCGAACATGCACATTTTGTCTACTCTTGTTGATAAATGCAAATAGTAAAATTGAATTAACAGTCAAAGTCTACTTACTCGGAATCAATTGTTTCACTTCCTTATAGAGACTCTACAGTTTTAAAAAAATAATGCCCCTTATGAAAGTAGTAAAATGTTTCAAGCAATTCCAACCCCAACAAAAGAACCAGATTTATAATGTTTTTAGTTATGTTACGTGTTGCTCTTTTGTCTATTAACCTTTTCTTCTGACACCGTACGTAACTTTCTTTCTGTTGGACTTACCAAGTTTTCCACGCAAATAAAAATACATAGAGATTATTCAAAGATGTCAGCTAACTTTGTGTAAAATTTCCTTGGGTTAAAGGTTATTTTTTTTTTTTATCAAAATTTACATTTTTATCAGTGAGGGGTTTTCAACATAAATGTCACAGCGTGCATTTTTAAACCCTACACAACATAGTAGTAAGGGGACTATGTCTTTGTGCATTTGTTTGTTTGATCTTCATAGAATCACTTTCTGAGTCGATTTATGCATGTCAGTCCGTCCATGTATTCTTGTGAAAAAAATGCAGGTCGCATTTATTATGAGATGAAATTTTCCAAACAATATTTGTTTGACCCAAAGACAAACCAATTCGAATTTGGCGATAATCGGATCAGATTTAGATATAGCTCCCATATATCCATAATCCGATTTCAGGTTTATTGTGCAAATAATAACTAATATCAGCCCAAATGGAGTGAATTTCGGGATATACGTTTCCATTTTGTGCAACTCGGCTCCGATATATATATTTTTTAACATAATCCGTCTCCACGGGTGAAATATTCTAAAGGGTGTATTTAAGCCTTGGCACGCATTTTGGCAGCAGACCTTGGACCTTCCAACAGGACGCAGCACCATAACACTCAGCACTTTGGTTGGCACTAAAAAAACCAAAGTGTCGATCACTTTATTACATTTTTTTATCTCACCCTGTATATGTGGCACTAGAGGTCACATTCGACATAAAAATGTCCCAATCAAATTGAATGGAATGGAATATGCCATCCAATTTCATATTTTATGCCCCGAAAGCCCTTATGTGCGCCCCATAACAGCCTAAAAATACCTATTTAGATAGCCTTATTTAGCAGTTTTTTAGAATACTCCCAAAAAATTTCAACCTAAAATGCAGCGCGTATTTAGTATAGAATAAAATAATATAAATATACTAAACGTATAGAATAAAATAATATAAATATACTAAAAGTATATTGTATTTATGGTATAGTAATATATAATACCCGCATCGCCGGGAATGGGCCAAAATATTGCAGAGCAACATTCGGGCTGCGTGTGACGGTTTCATTGGCCATTTGAAGGCCATAATTCGTGCCAATTCGAAAAAATCTAAACTTATTCTAAGATTTGATGCTATTTCCGACATTTTTTGCATTCATTCAATAAAATAAAAGTATAAATTATGGCGTTTGACTTTATTGCAGTTTTTTTATCTCACCCTGTATATGTGGCACTAGAGGTCACATTCGACATAAAAATGTCCCAGTCAAATTGAATGGAATGGAATATACCATCCAATTTCATATTTTATGTCCCGAAAGCCCTTAGATAGCCTTATTTAGCAGTTTTTTAGAATACTCCCAAAAAATGTCAACCTAAAATGCAGCGCGTATTTAGTATAGAATAAAATAATATGAATATACTAAAAGTATATAATAAACTAATTTCAATTGTATTGATGGTATATATAATTTCAATTGTATTTATGGTATAGTAATATATAATACCCGCATAGTTTATAAAGTATAACGCTACTTTTTATGTCAAAAATTCTTAAGAGCTCCTTAAAGTATCCCATTTAAATTTGAAAACCAGTAAGGAAAAGTCAAAAGTCGGGCAGGTCGTCTATATGATACCCTACACCACTATGCATACTTAGTAGGGCTCCCGTAACAAAATAGTTTATTTCAAGTAGATCATACCACCTTGGGAACAGTTATAGTTTGCTATATAGTGCGTGATATCACTTGGAGAAGGGTTATATTAAAAAAAAAATTCAGGTCATCATACCAAAATTCAGGTCATTTGGACTGATATTGATGTACTTGCTTCCAGACTGAATTCGGTCGGATGATTTAGTGCACAATTATCCAGAAATCGGTTGAAGATATATATGGGAGCTATTTCTAAATCTGACCCAATTATCACCAATTTCAATAGGGTTCGTCCTTGGGCCAAAAAAATATTATTTGGAAAATTTCATCTAAATCGGATAATAAATAGGACCTGCATTTTGTTCACAAGAATACATAGACGGACCGACATACATAAATCGACTCAGAAAGTGATTCTATGAAGACCCTCAAAAGTAACTATGGGTCTATATCGCTTCTTTCTCCCTGTTGCAAACAAATGCACAAAGACATCATTCCCTTACCACTATGTTGTGTAGGATATAAAGAAGTCATTTGATTTACCACGTTAGAATAATCAATAATCGGGCCTTTACAGATCACATTTTTCTAAACACGAACTTAAACCCTGAGGACTGAAAATATGTCAGTCAGAATGCTTTATGAGGGTAACATTTTATTAAGGAATGTCATCATTACTAACACGACGTGGCTCTTGCTGGTATAATAAGATGAATTAGAAAACCGTACGTTTTTTTCTACGTTTCTACGTTTTTTTCTAATCCATTCTTCAATCTGATCCAAATAAGAAACATTATTGAAACAGATTGTCTCCCTCCGCTCAATAGACATTTATTTTTATAAATTTCCTCGACATTTAAACATTAATGAATATTTTAATCCATAAAAAGAGCAACAAAAATATATTTTTTATCCTATTTTATTTTATTTCTTTTATTTTATTTTCGACGATAACTAAAAAATAAATTAACATCAAAAAATTGTGTACGTATGCGTTTTGAGTTTTTAAACAAAAACATAAACACAAATTATTTGTATTCTATTCTTTGCGGTCCTTATTTGAAAAGTTATTTTTTATATTTTTCAATAGTTGCCAATAGCTCATCGGCTTCTTCTCCAGTCTTAACACGCAACAGCATTGGTGTAGGCTTCTCAACATCTGGTGTCGGTATACAAACCATCATGACGTTATTCTTGCCCATACGTTGGGCCGGAATGGCAGAACTAAGAATTAAATTGACCAAAATATTGCCCAAATTTGTGTCGGCTCGCACAATAAGCTGTGTTTTCTCGCTCGATTCAATTGGCTTCAGATAGAGCGTGCCAACACCTTTGTCAGCGAAATTGCCGTCTTTCTTAACGAAAACCTTACATTTCTTTGAATAAACTGCATCATCTTCAACTACTTGTTTGAATTCGTTTTTGGGTGGTTCTTCGTCTTCTTCGTCGTTTTCAGTTGTTGATGGTGCGGGTGCCTCGGGAGGTTTTATGTTGCCAAAACTAAATGGAGTACCTCCAGGCGTAAATGAAAATGGTTTGGGCGCTCCATCACCATCAGACGCTGAAGCTGGTTTACCAAAGCTAAAAGTGGGGGCAGCTGACGTGGTAGATGTAGTAGAGGAGGTAGTGCTAGATGTTGAGGATGCTGTGCTCGGTTTAAGACCAAACGAAAAACCAGTAGTTGCTGCTGGCGTGGTCTTAGCGTCCGTTGTATCCTCAGGTTTCTTTAAACCAAAACTAAAACCATTTGTTTTAGTGGTGGACGTTGTGGCTCCAGTAGATGTTGTTGTGGCACCAGATGAAAATGAAAATGGCGTTGATGTTGTAGAACTTTTAACTGTAGAAGTTTCAGAAAACTTGAAAGTTCCAATCCCTGCCGAAGACGTTGCGGTAGTCGTTTGCTTCTTTTCATCACTGACGGTTGCCAAACTTGTGCTTTTATCTCCAGTCTTTTTCTTCTCTTCATCAAGTTCAGCCAAATACTTTTCATAGTCTTTAAAAATAGGTGTCAATATACACAAGGGGTTCTTATCAACATGAGTTTTTATCCATTCACTAACCGCCTGGTTGAGACCTTTCAATTTGGCATAATATTCATCCGATGTTTCCGAAGACTTTGTGTCACTTTTAACTTCTTTGGCACTTTCTGTTTTTGTTGTTGTCGCTGATGATCCAAAAGAGAACGTGGTGGCAGCTGGCTTAGGAGTTTCACTTGTTGCAATACTGGTTGGCGCTGGGGTGGCCGATGATATCTTTGATAGAAATGAAAAGGGTGATGCTCCCGCTGTGCTTGTAGCTGCTGTTGCCGAAGGTTTGCCAAAGCCTGAAAAACCACTAAAAACACTCTTTGTACCAGAATCCGCAGAATCGGTACCGGCTACTCTTCGCCTAGCGGCCTTTTTGATAACACGATTTTTAAGTTCTTGTTCATCAGCGGTTTTGAATGTTCCACGTTCTTCAGGCTCTTCCTCACGATCCCAGTTGTCATGATTTAAGTCTGAGGTAGCTTGCCTCTTACCAGCCATAATATGCGAAAAAAATTAGCAATAAATTCTTTTTCAACCAAGCCGACCAAACGTGCAAGAGATTGCAAAGTCTAAGTATATGAACAGTAACGGCGTTAAAATCAATTTACAAGGGAGAAGTGCGTCGCAAAATGGTGGCATTGAATTCTAGAGATGCTAAATTAAAGTATTATGAAAAACGCTCCTATCAAGATCACCCTGTTCTACTATGTTCATGTATTGGGTTCACATTAGCCTTTAAACGTGTACGTGTTTTAAACGTTCAATTCCAATGAATTCATTATGGTACTCTCCTATAATTTAATGTTAAGAATTTCGTATCCAGAAAGTACGGGCACAAATAACTAGTAAAAATCCGTCAAATTCAATATTTTAAACAATCAGAAGTTGGCAACCATGCTGTTATGTTTTGCATTCGAGAACTCTATTTTGTTTACTCTTGCTCATGGTATAATTATTACAGGTGACGACAAATCCCAGCTGATTTGACTCTATAATAATACTAGTGTCAAGCTCGATATGAAATTTTGTGGTATAATTCCATTTTTGACATGCAATAGGTATACCCTTTTTTGATATAAAAATTCACTGCAGGGCAATGTGAACATATTTTTTGCCTAATAATGGAAAAAATCGCCGTTGTACTTAAAAAAACGCCAAAAAAGATGGTTCGGAAAATTTTTTTGCGGTGTAGGAATGGCGACACCACGTTAGATAATATATTCGTATATTTCATGTTTCCTAAAATTGCAAAATGTAGAATACTTTATGTATGTATCATGGTAGAAAAATGCAGGTAGTCGCATCGACACAGCTGCTGGGACAATGAACTGTCAAACCGATTTTGATGTTGAAAATAGTGAATGAAAAATTATTGAAATATGTAAAAATTGTTGAAAAATACATATCATTACAACCTCCGTTTTTCGTCGTATAAGAAAACATATAAAAATCAACTTATTTTTTACAAAGCACTTAAAAAATTTTAACATATCAGTGTTCCCAAGCGTTGATGCATCTACCTATATTCTTCTACCATGGTATGTAGGCTGTTTGGTTTCAAAGGGATGTTGCCTTTTCCACGATTTTCTAGCGATTGCTACATATCGTAATGAATAATTTTACATTCTTGCAGATCTGAAACAGACCATTTATTATAACTGCATGTTTCACCAATTTTTCTTGTAAAAAAATAAATAATAAAAATATTATAATATAGATCCAATACAATGTGTGATCCAGAAAAAAAGAAAACTGTTTAATTCATCTATGGTTCGTATTTTTTGGGAAAAGCAAATTTTAAATCCTCTGAAAATTAGTACATGACGAGTTTTTGACAATGTTTCCATATTTTAGAACAAATATTTAAGCTGCAGCCCCTTTTAAAAATATACATCCGAAATATCCAATTTTTAATATTATTATAATGGTACAATTAATTTAATCTGACCTAATTTTAAATAATGATATTCAGTTTTACACTTATCGTAATTTGAAATATCAATTCAAACTCCATTAAAACATTTGAACACATACGACTTTGGATTGTGTTGATTAAAACTAGTGAAATATCCTGGCAGGATGTCGATTCCGCACCAGATTTTCCCTAATTAATTTTTTCTTCTTCCTGGTTGAGAATATTTAAATTAGGCTAATGAATCCTTATAAAATTTTGTATGTAAGCGCGGTAGTATGAGGAATCAAATTTGTAATCTTTTCATTATTTTTAAACAATCAATCATAGTACAATAAAACAAATGTAATCTCATTTCAAATTAGCATTCCCAGCTCTGCGTTTTATGCAACTTACCTTGTCAAATTTCAATGCATAAAAAACAGTTCCCATCTGTGATTCTGTATGAGATGTTATCAAATGTATAAATTTAAAAAAATTTAAGCATATGATTACATGACTTTACGTTCTTAAGGTGGCTGGGTTAAGTCATCGGCTAGCTTCTTCGGAAATGAACAAAGGAGTCTAGGGTCAAAATCGAACTAAGTCAACCTAAAACTCCTTTGTTCATCTACGAAGAAGCCAGCCGATGACTTAAGCCAGCCAAATATGCGCTTTATGTATTTCCAGCCTTAGTTCTACCATGCAATCAATATTTGGAAAATTGTTTACTTTAAAACCGTAGGGTCTTTTCCCTCTCCGTAATATGTAGGGGATCGCGGCCGATGAAGCTTTTACAGTACCTCACCGACCGTTTGTAGTCCCTTTTTACTTACACTCTTTCGATGCGGAGTCGTCGCGGGTTTTTGGGACATTAGTGTCACCTTCCACGACGCCTTCCTTGACCCGGAGGTTGGTAGCATCGGTATGCTCTGATGAATCTCCTTCATAAAAGTTTAGCCTCATCTGAGAGCCAGTTTGAGCAACCTCTGTAGCTTTCGGCACTGATTCATCTCTTTTAGATGGGTGTATGACGGTGACGTCGAGCTCCTCATCAAAGAGAGTTGAATCATTCCCAAAACCAGATGGTAAACTCTCCTGGCTAAGTCTTAGCGTTTTGGCCTTCTTCTTCTCTTAGCGTTTTGGTAGTATACTTTCGCATACTACTTCTCGGTGTCTGCAGAGTCTCGTCCCCACCTCCCAAGAGGCGGTTGAGGTGTTGTCGGTGTTTGTTAGGTTGTTTTTGTTTTTTAAATTATTCTCCATACGGCGCCCTGACTGCAAACCTTGGAACGGGGTTTAGGGAGTCCGTTGCGGTGGACCAGTCCGTTGACTGGATAGTTTAGGAGCGCCAGTGACTTCGCCTCGTCGAGTCCGCGATTGCTTAGTTAATTCGCAGCTGCCCGATTTATCTATCGGGCGTCCCACTATCCGCTATGCTTCCGCTAACGGCGAAACAAAACATTTCGGCCAGAAAAATTTCGGGCAATATTGTAGAAGATCTCTTTTATTTTTCTTTGTTGATGTAGCTATCTTGAAAATGTTTAGAATCTCCAGAAAACGAGAACGACAATATGGCAACTCATTTTGCACCGTCGTAATGCGAGAACTGGCTATCATTTTACGGAGATTGCAGACGTCAGTGAAAATAGTTTTAACGCCGATGAGTTAAAGTGTTTGGAGACGCCGCTAAATTTGTTGTTAGTATAGCTCGGTTCTCGCCACATTCACATTCTTAAAAAGTTATGGGAAATAATGGAATAAATTCAAATAAAATTTAATAAAAATTATAAAAAATACAAGAATTTAAAAATAACAAAACAACAAAATGTGGATAACCTAAATCAGTACAGAAATCTAATTGATTAAAGCAAACAAACAAGAAATTTTCTTGAGTTGTAAAGTGGTTTTCGACAAACAAAAAAAAAAGGAGAAACAGAATGCACACATCCAAAAAAGGAAAATTAAAATATTAATAAATGTCAATAAATTATGCTGCTGTAGAGTCTTCTGTGTAAATGATTTCAGTGAGTGTGTTACTAGTATGTTAGATTGGTATTTTGCATGAAATTTGGGCGAAAATCCTTTTGTTTTAAACGTTTTGGAAAGAAGTGGAGGCAAAAAATGGGTGTTGCTGCGAAATACAACGACACAGCTAGAAACAATTCTTTTACCACAAAATATAGGCAAGGCAGCAGCAGGCCAAGCAGCTAAGTGTTATTGTATTGTATGTTGTGCTGTCAAATAAGCAAAAGAATAATGAATTTCGAAGTGTAGAATAGTGTTGAGGAAATTTGTGAAAAAATAATATCGATTACAGTACAAGAAATGAATACATGCTAAATGTATTGTGAAGCAAAACAAATCAACATGAAACCATAAAGAAGAAAATACCAATAGAAACCACACAGAAAAACCAAACCAACCAAACCCCAAGCTTATAACTAACTCTCTATTATTGTTTCCTTTGTTGCATTTTCCTAATAATTGTCATCGATTCTAAAGTGTAAGTCATTTACGGTTACACGGTTTATCATAATCAGTTTTTCTTTTGTTTTGTTTGTGTACTTTATATCATCAATTAAATATAATATTACTCGTAATTCAATGTCGCAAAAACAAACGTCATTACCATCCTTGCTCGTGAGTAGTACTCAGAATCTGAAAAATAGATGACAATAGAGAGAGTAATTGAGGATGTGAACACGAAAGAGATCGATTTGTCAGAAATTACGTGTTTTGTTTAATGTAAAAATAAACATCAAATTTGCATTTAATGTCAGTGTCATTTACAAAAAAATCTATCTAAAATTTCAGCTGAGTGTTGTCTGATTCAAATATCTAATGATTTGTTCCTTATGTTTTTCTACCTTCCCCTTGTGTTCTTCTTGTTGTTATCATCATTACAATAAATAATAACGTTATTGTTGTCATATTGTCTGTGTGTCACCATAAGTTGGCTCCTCGCCCGGCCCGTCCCTCAACAACAACCGTGTGTTAACCAGCTGTTTTAAATTTTACGCGCGCCATAATTTGCCGTTTGACTTTACAACAGCAACATCAACAAAAATAACCAGAACGGGCCAACAATAGCTAGCGGCGGCGGCAGTGGCCCTATTACTGCTTTACATTGATATTGGACACCCTACGGTGTAAATCTGGCAGAGTGTGCCCTGGGCACATTCTATTTGGTATTGTGAAAAAATGCCGCCTGCACTTATGAATATAGCCGAATTTGTTGAGGAAACCCGAGATGATTACAATTCACCAACAACATCAACATTTGCATCCCGCATGATGCCGGCATGTCGTCAAACCATTGCAGTATTGGAAGAGGTAAGTTTTGTTTATTTTTATTTAAATAAAGAAGTTTATTTGTTTAATTTTAGAATAAAGAATAGTTTGTTTAAAAGAGCACAAGGAGGGGAGGATGACAAATGGGTGCAAGTTTTTTTTTTTTTTTTTGGGAAAAATTGCTTGCAGACATTCACCTAATAATTTTGAAAAAGGTTGAACCCAATGTCACATTTATTTTCTATTTGCAATAGAGGGACAACATGAAGGGGGTGCGATCGTGAGGAAGCATGTTGGAGCAGGACATTAAAGTCAATGGTCAGCCTGATCTCGAGAAAGTCATATCCTATATAAAAAATAAAATCAAGTAGTAAACACCATAAACTACTAATTCTTCTAATGTTTGATATCCTATAGAATACTTTCGCACCAAGTTGGTTTATATTTTTGAATCCTATTTGATCATAATTAGTTTGTTTCCTTTATAAAATGCTCCAAACGGATATTGCTACCAGAGAAAACATGCTAATAGATAATTGTGTTTCATTACTCACATAAGAGTATATAGTGATAGCATTAACAAAATTTGATTTTGGATTATAAACTTTGTAATACATATTTCTAGATCATGAAGGATCTTAAATTAATAAATAAATGAAATAATTAAAAAATAAAAAGCAATATGCCTTCAGCGTGTAGCATATTATGCTGTGTACCATATCATCCTGTTTACCCTTAAAGGTCGAGGTGATAGGTCGATATATAAAACATTCGTCAATATCAGTTATTCCATCCATATTGGAATAACTGATAGTGATCTGGGGCTGGGTTGTCAAAAATAGAGACAGTATTCTGTGTGCCGGGTAAAACAATTCATTATAGGCAAGATTTTACAATATTATTAAAAAATCGCCACAAGGAACCCAAACAAAGGTATTATAATTCACTCACTAATTTGCAAATTATTCTATGTTCTTTGTTTGAATAAATGTGAGATTTCCAATTAAGTGTCCATCTTTGGTTTGTTGCCTTTTGAGAGCAAGCCTAGTAGAGGCATTGTTTTTCATCAGCATGTAAGGATCAGTAATCAAGATTAGAGTAGGAACATTTTGTTTTTATAAAAACTATTTTACAGTGGCCCATTTAAATTCCTTGCATCTTGCGCAGGAGGACCTTTGGAGTCATTAACACTAGGTCCGAAACTGTGAGTCATTTTTCATAAGGTCATTAAATTTATAAATCTACTCACACATGTATATAAGTTCGCCAGTTGGCATATCGATTTTTATACATCGATGAGCTAAATCGATCTAGCTACGTGTCCGTTCTACGTATAATTGTAATAACTCTAAAGGTCGTAATTTTTGCCCGATCACGAAATTTTAAATAGGGTACGCAATTTTTCCCGATTTTGCAGTCGGTCTAGGTGTCATTTTATGGATCATTATACGTTATATTTTGTAAATGCTTAGCGTTTAGGTCAGAGAGGAAGGCACGGGTTTCAATGATGACATAATAAATTTGTCATATTTAGAAATTTTGTCAAAATTTTTGAAATTCTGTCAAATTTTTGTTTATAAGTAAAATTTTCACATGGTGGTGGAATATAAAAATGTTGCACACCGAACTTATTGTCGTTGTTATATTTAAATTCATACTGAGCATTATTTGTATAATCTGAGATGTTATAAATGAATAATTAAAAATTAGTCCTTGTTGGTTTGATAAATGTGAGCCCCAATAATGGAATTACTACATACAAAATATATCTACAAAGTCCTCTATAGATTAGAGACATTTGAGTGCTTGTGGAGTAACAATACTTTATCAAATGTGATTAAAAAGTAAAGTAGCGTCTCCAAACCGAAGGCGCCTTTAAAGATTTTATAGAGAATTTTCATTGTAGATAAAAGATGTGCCAAACAACTTTATAACCAATTCATTTATTGTAATAACTTTTATTGTACAAATTGTAACTCCATGTTTTTATTCGGAATCACCAAACCCAATAGAGGAAATCAGCTGTTTTTTTTAATTTCAAAGAGAGAGTCAACTGCAGCTGATGGGCATCATTTTTCCACATTGTTTTTGTGTATGGCACTTAAAACAACACATTTCTGATTTGAAATGTGCATTAATAAGTACCTTCACCTGTTTTATGGTGTTTTCTTTAATAACACACGCGCACACATACCTGTACACACACAGTATGGTAGTTGAGGATATTTTGTTATCTTTTTTCCTTTGAGTAAAGGCTTGTGCTCGTCTCTCTCTCAATATAACAGGTGATATAATAACCAACCAACAATGAAAAGAGTGAGAGACAAAGGAAGATAGTAATTGAGACTCAGTAAACACAACTCGTATGTGTTATAAACAGGTCATTTGACAACCTTAACCATAAATGCGCGCATTGTCTAATGAATATTTTTCCTTGGGTCAATTAATAAATTGACTTTTGGCAATTTGTTAAAAGGCCTTTTCTGCTTTAATATATTTTTATTTGCTTAATAATACATATTTGCAATTGAATATATAACAATTACAGTCACAGTAAGAGAAAAAAAGTAGATTTTTTTGTAACAAAAGGCAATGCTGTTGCTGTTGACATCAAGGTTATTTGTATTTACTTATTTAGGTGTGCGCGCACAGCTTCATTGGGGAACTACAAAATACTTGTTGTATTCAATGGCTAATTTAAACAAATATGAACGTTAAGTATGCATGTAGATAGATAGATGGATGGATAGACATATGTTCATTTGATGACAATAGAATTCTATAGGTATTTTATTGTATAATAGTGTTAGTCATTTTTTGTGGTTCTTTTTCTATATTATATAGAACAGTACATTTTGAGGTCTGATGATGATGATGATAAAGATTTCTGAAAATGAAACGTGACCATTGATGCCACTTTTTTAAAAACAAGTACATTTTGATAACATCAATAATAGGGTCCATTAAAATCGTTCCTGAACGAAATCTAGGGATTTGAACAGAGGCTGTAAAAATCACAAGCACATCAATTCTAGGAAAATGTAATTATCAATTTAAAACTAAAGAAACATTAAAGGAATGCATGATTTTTCACCTGTAATGGAATATAAGCTCTCGGACAAAATGTAGTCAAACACCATAGTTTTAAAATTTTTTCAATTTTATTGAATGAAAGCAAAGAATGTCGGAATAGCATCAACTTTTAGAATAAGTTTAGATTTGTTCAAATTGGTCACATTTCGAATGAATGAAACTGTCACACGCTGCCCAAATGTTGCTCTGCAGTATTTTGGTCCATTCCCGACAAAGCGCTTGCTTGACGTGATCGACACTCTGATATTTTTTGTGCCAACCTTGCTTTCCAAAATACTCCAGACACAAAAGTCCAATGGATTGGTATCCGGAGATTTTGGTGGTCATTGTGCGCTGGAAATGAAGCGAGGAAACTCATTTTGTTACCCTTCTTGGGTGGCGCGTGAGGAGTGCGAGGCTTTAATATACCCTCCAGAATATTTTCGCGATAATATTCGGCATTTATTCTGATGCCACGGTCGATAATTGAGTTCTGGTTTCCAACCGAAGGTGTACATTTTCAGCTGACCTCTTTGGCAAGCAAACACGATCATTTGTTTTCTGTTCGACGACGAATGTTTTCCCATCGGAGAAAACCAAATACGGCTGTCCACCACTTTCGGCCAAGCGAAGCAACTCTTTAGCTAATTTGAGACCATTTTCTTTCTGTTGTGGTGTAAGTTCTTGCACTTTTTGGAATTTCAATGGCTTTATCCCGAGCTCATTTTTCAATATTTGCCGAATGGAATATTGCCATTTTTCGGCCACTGCGACGCGGGTTTCGATCAAGTCGCTTTTTTACTTTTCGAACCATTTCTGCTGATATTTCTGTTTTCTTCCGTCCACTTTCTTGACGTCGGGCTACGCTGCACTATGGGTAAAAAGCATGATTTTTTGGCATAAAGTCATTTTTTTTTGGTTTCATATTTTGAAATTTAACTGATTTCCTAAATGTAGATACCCATATTAGAAAAAAAAATGTTTAATATCAATACGGGTGGCAACCCTTTTTTGTTGGCGAGCTTTTAAAGTCAGCTGTTTGAAAGTCACTTTGTTTTGGTACAACTGGCGGTAAAGATCAGCTAAGTTCAAGTGCTTCTGATTTGACAAAATTGAAAAAAATAAAATGTGTAATTATGGAAAACGTTAGTGCAGGTATGTAAAATTAAGACGAGGTGCCCTTTTTGTCATAATTGTCTGTTGTTATAATACTGTGAATTGTTTCGTTTATGTATAGCTTTATATAAAATCTATAAATTGTAGTTGTGTTCCGTGGAGTGTAACTTGTGAATGGCAAAGCATTGCAAAAAGGTATAAATGCCAAGTTATTAACAAAAGTGTGTTAATTAATGAGTAACTAGCCTTTTTTGTTCTATTTTGTGCCAACACGTGTTTTGCAGATAAACATGTGTTTGTCCATGCAGCGCTCATTGAAATTTGGAGAAGCAACAATCGCTCAGAAGATGCACTTGTGAAATATGTGTTACAGAATATCAATAATATCAGTTTAAATGAAGACCAAATGCGTTTGATATCAAAACAAGTGAAAGATTTTGTTAATTATATAAAAAAGCATTTGCCAAAGTGCATCCGTAAACTAGAGCGATTTAAAACTAAACATTCAAAATGGCTTAGCAAAAGTATAATTATTGTAATGAATGAGCAGTATGTTTCTCCAAATCATCATAGCCGATCGGCCAGATCGGCTATATAGCAGCTACATGAAATAGTGCCCCAAATCATATGAAAATTCGTAGGTCATCTTGGGGGCATAAAAATGAATACAAATCAAATTTCACTTCAACAGCTTCATAAACAAAAAAGTTGGGTCAAATCGGCTATATAGCAGCTATATGAAATAGTTCCCCAAATCATATGAAAATTCGTAGGTCATCTTGGGGGCATAAAAAATGAATACAAACCAAATTTCACTTCAATAGCTTCATAAACAAAAAAGTTGGGTCAAATCG